ATCCCTCCCTTAAAATAGCTGACCTTAACTATGTCCACCTGATTCAAAAGTTCAGAAGGCGGTACTGCCTAAATGGAATTATGGACAACAGTTAGAAGGTATGTCTAAAATAAATATTAATAATCTGTTTGGACCCTTATTTTACATATTTAATTAACCTTCAAACCTTTTCAATTTCCACTTTTCCAGATGGCTCCAACATATCTGTAATAATATAATACTTAAATATAAAATGACAAGTAGTGAATTACTGTTTAATAACCACACAGTTATCTAATGTTACTAAATCCTTTGAAAATTAACACATTTAAGTCTAAATTGATACCTTCAATATTCAATTTTGCAACAGGGGAAAAAAAAAGCAACCGTAGCTGACAAAATATAAATTTTCATATAATTTATACTTCCAAAAAATTACACCAACTACGGTAACCTATACAAAAATGAAAATTATAATTTGAGAAAAACTATTGTATAAAATGTTAATATACCTTTGCCCTTTAATAAATAATAGAAATATACTAATAAGTCATTTATTTTCTTATATTGATGATAACTGAAAAATTAAATTGTAGTTCAATTTTATAGTAACTATTTATTAATGATAGTATGTAGAAAACTAACACACGACGACACGCTTAAATTATATTTTTTTTTTCAAATCAATCATTCTAATAGTTGCTCTTAATATCAATTAAAGTAAATTTAAAATTTTTTATAATAAAATAATAGTTTTTCATTTTTTTTAAATGATTTTTATAATTAATGAAAACAAATCTCCAATTTATATAGTTACTTCACCTTTTATATTTTACAATTTAATATTAATAATTAATTGTATTATATAATAAAATTTCACACTATATTATGATATAATATAAGCCACTTATCAAATTTATTTTATGGCACTCATTATTGAATTGAATAAATAAATTAATACTAATACTGTTTACAAAATAGACAATGAATTTATTTCGATACTTTTAAGTTTAACCAAAGAAAACAGTTTTTAATGTTTAATTTACGATTTGAAGGTAAAATATTTTACTTACAGAATTATTGATTCTAAAGTTTAAAATGTTATAGACAATTTTAAGTTAATACTAAATCCTCAACAATTTGAAAAAAATATACACCATGCAAATATTAGTATTTAATATAAGAAAAAAATAAAAATAAGTTAAAATAAATAGTTGAAGTTTACTTTGTTTCCATAATTCATTATTAAAGTACCTTCTAGAGTTCTAGAGCAATTGAAGAAATAAATCTTCTATGAAAAAGAAACCATTTGTTGTACAAAATACGTATTATATATTATTATGTCCTGTTGAAGAAATAAGTATTTACACAATACAAATACGTCTTACAAGTTTAAAAGTACAGGGTGGTTGTACATATTTAAGAAACATAAATAAAGAATTAATACATAACATAGAGTTAAATCAAAAAGTTTTGAATTTTAAAACATTTATTTAAGTAAAAATATTAATCAAAATCACTGTTAATTTTTTTGTGATAAAGGTTTAAAATTTATGATTTTACTTAATAAATTATCAGTCTAATGTCTGACAATAGTTCTATAACTATTCAAAGAATTTAATAATTTGAAAAAATCGATTATTTCTTATTACAATCGAATTTAAGTAATTATTATAATTATCAATATATGTATATATAACTCAAATATATGTTAATCTTAAGTTTTATTTATTTTTGATAAACAATACTATAAGTTAAAGACTACTCAATATAAGTTTATTGATACATTATGTATTATATCTGCACAATATTAAGTGCTTTTATGTTTCCGGAGTATTTGAAACCAATTTTTAGATTTTTCTGGCGATAAGGTTATATGGCGATAAAATGCTTACGTTTCCTATTTTCATCAAAAACAATAAAATTGTTTTTGAATATATTATTTCTAATTTGTCAATTTTATAATGAAACATACATTTTTATGACTTAATTTAGTAACTAGCCTATTTTAGGCTTATATTCACATGAAACTTGAAAGAGTCTTATTTGTCATCAAATTCATTACATTTTTTTTTGTCTTTAACTCCTATCTTATTTATATCTATTATGCAGAATTTTCCGAATCCTGTTTAAATGAAAAAGGAAACATTACAATTTTAAAAATGAGGATATGTATTTTTTAACATTATTTTTCCTAGTAACATTATACTAAAATAGTCGATACTAACTTAATCAGGTATCGTTTTATTACACAATTAAGTTATTTTAAAGCAGGTTCAACTTGGAAACCTAACATCAACTGTCTTATTATTTATCACTATGTATACACTTTCTATTCAAAATTTAAATAGTATTGTAATAAATTTACTAAATAATTATTATATAAATATTATTATTATTATTATTATTATTATAAATGTATAATAAATTTAAAATGTAGGTTTTTCTTATTATTTAAAATTCCTAATCATTTATATTAATTACAATATTTATAACTTAAAAATTTTGATCATGATAAATAAATTTTACTATATATTACCTATACCATTAATTAAATATATTGTATATATTTATACAATCAATATCTATATACTGATTTTTTTTACGTTATAATACATAGAGTAAATTATAATACTCGTATTTTACCAACTATATTTCTTAAATTTACAAAATTTAACCTAACACTTGCTATTTCAGAGGAATAATAATTTTAAATTTTAATCTTTATAAATATATATATATATATATATATATATATATATATATAAAGTGATATTCATAATGATATACATTTTCTCTAAAATTAAATAATATGACATAAAAACTTAATAGATAGTTTATAAGAATTTTAACTTAAACCATTTTTTTTCCTCTGTCAATGGTGGTATAAAAACAGTTTTTATACATATTAAGTATCCATTATGAGTGGTGAATAATATAATAATGTTTTCAGAAAAACCAGTTTAAGCTGAAGGTCTTTTTACAGTAATAATTAGTGAGACTATTTATTTTTTTCAATGAACGAACTTTTATTAAACTTATGGTATTAATATTTAAATAACTTTACTAAAAATAATTCATTTTGAATTTTTCAAACTTAATAATTCTGAAGTTTTAATTTTTTTATAAGTTATAGTTGTTTTAAATTCTGAGCAAAGCGTTGAAAGTATTTATTTTATAATTACGACAAATTTTAAAATATAATTACGATCAATCATCAAAATATTCCTAATATGTACTCGATACATGTTCAAAGTTTGATAAAATTAAATGTTTAAACGAAGAATTATGATTTGTTATTTTTATTTAATTTCTTGGGATTTGAAACGTTTTGCTATTTTATTTATTATTATATATTATTAACAATACTCAATGATATTATCAAAGTATTAGTGCAACATTCATAAAAATATTACTTATATGAAAACATTTTTCAAAATATTAACAGACGGGCAGTCTAAGTTCAGAATCGTTTTTTATGTGCAATGTTATACTATTCAATTTAAATTTAAATAATCTATGTACTGAACTACTAAATTATGAGTTATACAAACTAAAACTATTATAGGCTATAGAGAAAAGTGAGTACCCCGGGATTTTTTTTTATCATTATTCATATTATATAATATAATATGAAATACAATATATATTTTTATATCTATTCTGCAGTATCAGTAGATACTATGAACAAATTTACATTCAAAACAAAGTTAAATGAAAAAAAAATAAAAACTAAACTATTAAAAAGGATTTCAAATGCATATTCCATTTTTTTTTTTTTTTATGAAATAGTTTTAAAATAAATATTAATTATTGTTAATAAAATATAATTTACAGTTTTAAAAACTTTTTAAAATTGCTATTACTTTTAAAATAATTTCTATTCAGATAATTTTATTTTTTATATACAAATAATATCATAAAATCTTTAAATATTATACTTAGTTAAAATAAGAGCAATAAATTATTTTAAATTCTAAATGATACTATTATATTTTCACTTAATAAGTCTGAAATGAATGTGAACCTATAAATGCATATGAATTCGTATATGAATAATATATATATTATTATTATTATATCTATTCATTATTTTAAATAAAAATCGATACACTCGTATGTGTTGTATCTGTCATGCAAACTATATAACATAGCAAATTTTCGGTTAGGTATTAGGACCGATTTTACAATAATTGCTATAATATTAGAATAATATACATATTAAACGTAAGAAAGTGGTTTGGTGTGGCACATTAGGTTACAATCGTAAAAACAACCTACATGTACCAACCTTACCTCTACCCACAGTTCATAATCCCTACAACAGCTTGACCCTAGTCGCCGGTCGGGCTTAAGTTCAATAAATAAAAAAAAAAATAAAACGTAAGAATATTATCTGTTCTCACTTGCTTACTTGTTTACTATATTTATATTTTTAAGTAAGCTATGTAAACTGCATGTATTAAATTATTAAAATAAAAAAAAATGGCCATAACTCACTGAAAATTTAAAAATCAGAAAAACCGAAATGTGATAACAGATAATGTTTTTATCTTTAAAATGTATAATGTAAAAATTTATTTTATTTTTAAATGTAACATGATAAAATAATTTCTACTGAACAAAGATTCAAATAATTCATTCTAATTAAATGAATAAAAAAAAATTAATTTATACAACAAAAATTTTGTCAATAATGTTAATAATATGTATTGTATTAAAATAATTATAATTATTATTATTATATTTTGAAATTGCTGATTTTAAGGTAAATTATTCAATAAAATAATAACTATTGCAATTAAGTATTCAAAATTTAATGCAGATTATTAGCTACGAATAACTTTTAAATATAAATCATTATTAATTATATGGATTTATCATTATTTTTATTTTTTAATAAAAAAATATTCACATTTATAAACTTTATTAGGTACTTAATTAAATTTTAGAATATTATTAGAATAATAATTATAAATAATAATGTTTGTAGAAAAAAAATCATTAAATTATTTACTCACTAAAACTGGTTTCTCCCATATCACCGATCATCACATCGGACTCTGTAAAATAATGCATTTTGTTTTAAAAATTTGAATAGTATCGAGTAAATAAATCATATTTCCTAATTATATAATATTGATAAAAAGTCAACAAATTTTACATGGTTTAATCTTTTATGAAAAAAAAATCTGAGAAATCACTTTTCTTATATTATATGTTTGAGTGTTCTTCGTCATCTAATAGGTTACCGTAAAAAATAATGTGTGATAAATACGAAAAATGATTCTAATCAGAGACAGCGTATCAACCTTTATTTTTAAAAGGATGTTTTACAAATTATTTATATTATTAGAGTATTTTTAAGTATGATACTATAAAATGTAACGCTGCTAGGATTAAAGCCAGTATTTTTACCTAGATTATTTAATTATTAAGTAGATAATATAATACTAGATTCAGTTTTATTTTTAGTTTAATTGTATAATTGTTTAATGATATAATTTCCAGGTAATTAGAAGACTTTAACAAATAATATAAACGAATAGTGTTTTGCTAATGTTTTATAACTCACTTGCTCCGCCATAATTTACGCTTAATGAAATAAACTAACCAAAATTATGTACAATGTATAATTTATAATATGTTCATTTATATTCTGGTTATATAATAAAATTTGATTTTCAATATTATAAAAAGATACTTAAAGTAATTTATTTTTCTGTTAGTAAAATTTGGTAATTAAATTGATTTAAAAATTAATATTTCAAAAAAATAACATAAAATTTATAGTATGATGTTGTTATATTACATATTTTATTACTTTATATTCACTTATAACTTATAATACAATATATACATAATCCAAAATGAAGCGGTGGATGTATTTAAGGCTTAAATAGCTCAAATTAGTTTAAATATCTATAGAAAATAATAGTTTTAGACGTTTTAGTAATAGATAAAAATTTTTAAGATTCTATGATCAATAATTTTTAAATTAAAACAAAATAATATAAATTGTTTGAGGATAAATCGTTAATGAATATGACGTGAGTTGAATTCAATTTGTTTAAAATGTAAATAGTTAATAAAAAAATTAATATGGCTTACCGTCAAACATTTTTTTTTTTTAATTTTAGTAAAAAAACTCATAAAGAATATTGTATTAAACTTTCAAGTTCAAGGAATAAAAATTAAATTTTAAATAAGAACTTAAAAAAATTTAAAAAATAAATAAATACATTTTCAAGTTTTTTGACTGAAAAAATGTTCTTAAATAAAAAATCGTAAATTTAAAATATCTATTATTAGCTAGAAAAAAAAATAATATATATTTTCTTCTTTTTTTAATTTTTCCGAATTATTCTGAAGAATACTAAATATCTCCCTCCTAAAAAAATAAAATTAAGTATAAATACCTATATCCAATTTTCTTTCAACGAAACCACAAAAAATTCAAATTATTACAAAACCAACACAATTATCGTTCAACTCTAAAATGTACTTGATAGCAATAGATCACACTACGAATAATTATAATTTGTAAATAAAGAGTTTACTAAGTATAAGTATTTTTCTCACTTAATTAAATAATATTGATTTAAATTTTTTTCATAAATGTTATTTATTATTAAGATTATTAAGAAATATTAAAAATTCCCTCAGTGTTTTTCATTTAGAGCCGAGCAATAAATATATTATCATCACAGTATGTGTTTTTATTCCTATCGTCACCATTTGAAGCAGTATAAATACTTCAATCTTCTACTTTAAGACTTGATTTTTGATAGCAATTTGGATATAGTGATGTTTATGGATCGAAGTTACATATATTTAAATCATAAAATATGCAATGTAATTTTTAAATATAAAAATATTTTCAATTTTTGTATGTAGAATAAATTTGTATATAATAACTGTATATAAAATTAAAACATATATATGATTATGTAATATGCAAAAACATGCATTTTATGAAAACCATGCAATTACAACTAAAATATGCAAAATTTGTAATATTCTTTATTTATGCATTATCCATGAAAATTTATTTATAACATGCAATTTATTATAAAAAATATGAAAATGTATTAAACACGAAATTCAATCTTTAGATTAATATCTGTAACAACTTATTTCTCCATTATCTTTATTTTTTTTCAAAATAATAATTTTTTTAATTGTAACTTTAATCTTGTTGTTACTTTGGAGGATCAAAATATGGTAGGTTTTTAACCTTTAAAAATAATCGAGAAAACAAAAATGTTTTTTAAAAAATTGTGAAACCTTTAAAGACTTTAAATTTTTTAAGTTTATATTTTAGCATTTTATAGACAGAAAATATGTTGGCTGTTTTTAATGGTATTTGATATCTTTGAACATTAACTAATATTTTAATTTTTTCAAGATAATATGTACCTATGATTTGTATATTTTGGTTGCAAAATTTAAAATTTGGAATTTGAATTTATGTACTGCAATATGATATTATATTGTTATATAAATGCTTACTAACAATTTTCATTTCAACTATATTTATGTTTATGTATATCTAAACTATAAGAATGAAAAGAAAGATGTTCATCACATCCTGCATACGCTTGGAAAGGTCATTTCAACTCTGTACATTTTTAAAAATTAAAATAAAATCATTGTTATGTAACCATCAGTTGTTGGAAGCTTACAACAATTGAAACACGAGTTTAAATAATAGAGTTATTGTTGAATTACCGTAATACAAATAGTAAGGTAAATTACTTTATTAAAAATACGAAAAAAACATATTGTTAAATATACTTAAATTATAATAACTTAAATTACTCAATGACAAGGTACAATCAATATCTACAACTTTCAGCAGTATCTTTTTCTTTTTCTCCTGTTTTTGAAATTTTTATCATAAAAACCAATCATGATATAAATTTTAGTCTCAATAATTTAATAAATGTATAAGTACGTTTTTAAGTTTTAATCATTTAGCGTTTTATTATAAGATATTGTCTATTTCTTCACATTTATATATATATATATTTTTTTTTTTAATTTCCCCAACTACTAAATTATGTTCTTATTCTTCTTAATTATTAATAATTACATTATATAGTATTACATATTTACAGTTTATCATGAAACTTATAATTTTGCTTGAGTAAATTTAATTTATTAAATAAAATATTTAATATTTCATTTATTATTTTTCCACAAATCAAAATATCATGCTCTGTACTGCTATAATACCTACTTTTTTTTATTATTATTTAAGTGAATAATAACAACTTATATATGCATGATCAATAACTTATTATTTTATCAAAATAAATTTAAACGTGAATGACTCGACAGTAGAAGTCACCCATCTGTAATATCCCATGCATAAGTTTAGAGAATATTATTTAAGTGGAAATAAATTTTTGTAATTACATTATCAGGATAATAAGTCACGATTTCAATGTCTTTTTAATCTGCAAGAGCCATACAATTTAAAGACATTGTTTGAATTAAGGAGTTAGTTACGCAAGTTTTGAGTTAAAACACTTATTATGAGTTCATTTGCAGTTTTTATTTGTAGGGTTTGGTTAGTTATATACCAGAATGCTTCAGTAACGATATGAAGTTATATTTTAAAATTATTAAATGGGACGAATGTTTAAGAGTTTAGCCGAGTCTCAGATATGAATACTAAAAGACCAGGGTGGTATAATGATGATTTTGTACAGGAGTATTTTTAATTTAACTTTGAGTTTGGACTTAAAAAGAGTTCGGAAAAGGTTAAGTCTAATGTTAGCCGTTTTTTTTTGTTTTTGAAACAGGTACCCCAAGTTAGATGTTTGTCTAGTGCAGTATTTTTTAAACTGTATTCCGTGGAACCTCGGGGTTTCACGAAGATCACTTCAGGGTATCGTGAAGCTAAATTAATTTTTTTTTTAAATTTTAAAGAAAATTACTTTAAAATATCTAACTAAAGATTAGTAGTGACTAGTGGAAAAAAAATGTTTGTATAATAAATAATTAATAAATAATAATTTAATATATGGTATATCTATAGGATGATTCTAAACTCTATATTATAATTATTATATGAAATAGTTATAATTTTTATTGAAAATAACCTTAAAAAAAGCTAAAAAGCTAAAAAAAAAGTACGAGTTCTACGATAAAAGTGAACATCAAAAAGGGTTCCACGGATAAAAAAGTTTAAGAAACGCTGCTCTAGCGTAATACCAAGATATTTTGTTTCAGTTAGACAGTAATAGTTACATTGTTTAATTTTATTGAATGACATTTATCACTTACTCTCATTTATTTTGATAAACTATTTATTTTTTTTATAATACTCATATATTTATGCGTTAAACATTTAATGGAATTATATTTAAGTTAAAACAATAATGCATTTTAAATTGAGCAAGTACCTATGCATACCTATAACATAAATAATAACATTTATTTTAAAAATATGAAAATATTTTGTATCTATAAAGTAGATGAATTCAATATTTTATATTTCTATAACACGTAGAAATGCATATTTACAATTTTGACAACCAATTCATTATATACTCATCAATCACAATAAAAAAAGATAAAAGAAAATAACCTTTCAGTAAAATGTATTGAGCTTTATTTTTCTTGACAATCATTGTGCTATTCTATCACAGTTCTAAATACAATTTTCAAGACTAGATTGACATGGCATTCACTTATATTTTTATTTTAAGTCTATTTTATCTTTTATCGATGTAGCTGACGAACCAATAGCATAAGTATGACTAAAGATGTGAACACAGACATCTGTACAATTCACAAATAAACCATGAATGTTAAAAGTCATTCATAAAATTAGCAACAAATGACCCTTAAAAACATAAAATTTGATTTTTTTTTTTTTTTATAAGTGAATACTATTTATGTTCTTAAAATATACTATAATTTAAAGGAGTTAATTAAACATGTATGATATTTAATAAAATGCAAATTATTAAAATCAAATATTTTGTTTTATTTTTGCATAATATATTATTTATTATTAATATTTTTAATCAAATGACAATATTTAATATAA